CCCCAAAACCCCAAAACCCCAAAACCCCGCATATTCAAATAATTTGTAAAAATTGTTAAGAAATCTGGATATTTAATGAAATGAAATATATGGATGAGAAAGTGGTATTCTCAATACAATTATTATCGCAAAGTGGATTTACTTCGATTTATCAGTTTATCCTCCTACTGCCACTTCTTCTCAATTTTCATTTCCTCCGCCAATGTCAGACTCTTAAGGTGGATCATTGATATTGTTGTATATATCATCTGTGCCATCAGCTTTGTCTTCGGCTTTTTGCTAATGAAGAATATTTCTATCGTATTATTTGGCATTACCATCTTCTTCCTAATCCTCAATATTGTTCTCGTTCATTCTAAGATTCAGATTTTCGTTGATAATTTGACGAATTTAATGATGATCAATTTCATGATCAGCCTTATCATCATGATTCACATCATTTTTGTCAGCTTTATCTTGATTGTTTTCTTGAGGATTATGCTCAAGATGATTGTGATCGTGATGATCATGGTTGTGATTGTGATTATGATCATGATCATTTTCATTGTGGTGATTATGCTAATCATGTTCATGCTCGTGAGATTGATGTATCTTTCTATCACCAGTTGCATCTTACTGATCCGGATTATCACCATCTTCATTATTTTTATTATTTTCCTTTTTGGATTTTTCATTATTTTCCTCGTCTTAGATATTATAAGTAGGAGCTTAATTTTCATTCAGCTATTCTTATTATTAGGATTCCTGATTGGTTTATTCTTCATTTGGCAATTTTGAATAATTCCTTCCATCCTCTATTTACGTAATAATATCTGCCTTATTTTCAGTAGTCTTCTTTTTCTTCGTGAGATTATCAGCGTCCTTTGATGTTACACAATTTCCCATCGGATATGTTAAATTATAGCTTATGATATTGTTATAGAAATATTATATAAAAATATCCTAAATCAATTAAATAATAAACTACTCTTTCGGATCTTATACTAGATTTAGGGGTTTTGGGGTTTTGGGGTTTTGGGG